CCCGCACCCGCGGGACCCCCAGCAGGGTGTGAGCAGGATGCGTTACCCCCTGCCGTGTGCACGGTGTGTTTGGAATGAAGGGCAGCGACGAACACCCCGCGTTTCCTTCAGGGCAGCCTCCCAGCCCCCCCGCCCTGCAGCCGGTCCCTGTGTGGGGTGAGGTGCTTCGGGAAGCGCAGGGGATGGGGAAGCACCGCGTGGGACTGGGAAGGAAACGGGTTTGTTCCCACTCTAACCCCGTGTGGCCGCGGCGCCTCCGTTGTGCTCCCCAAAACCGGGGCAGGAGCAGCTTCTCTGGGCAGGGTCACAGCAACTCGCCCACGTCTGTCCAGGGAGCCAGAGGGGCAGGAGATGGGGCGAGAGGTAGGACTGGGAAGGCTGCAGCATCACCCAGGTCCTTCCGGGAGACGGGAACAGGTGAGACTTGAGGGTGAGGGAGGCCCCAGGTGAGGCTGATCGGGGCCTTTGGGGTTTAGGAGTGCACAAAACCCAGGCGTTGCTGGTTCTATGTCGAGGAGCACATTAAAACACCTGATTTTCAGAGCCTGTAGAAGCCCTGTTGACCAACAGTCATCTTGTGGAGGCATAAGGGGGGTAAAGGACATCTGGGAGGGTTTCACTGTCGCACCAAAATGACCGGCACGGAACACCCCTCGAATGGCAGACAGTTTCAGAAGAGAAGAAGAAAAAAGCCCTCTGAACTTCTCCTCTTGATCTACAGGAGTGTGGGCTTCATCCAAACCCTTCTGAAGCCCATAGGAAGCCTCCCTCTAATTTCAAGGGGGGGTTGAGTATAGCTGGAAGGCTTCTCTCCCAGCCAAGTTGGACTTTTTCTCCCCATACTTTCTCCATATCTATTCCTGGAAGGGAGCTGGAAGGGATCAGCGACCTTCAGGAGCCTGGGAATGAGCCTAGGGAAGAGCTTCCCTCCCAGAGACGGGGTGGCAGTGGTCGGACTGCTGTTCCCAGGAGGGGACAAGACACACTGTGTCATGTGTGCAGGGACAGAACCTTCCTCCACAGCTGTCCATGCTGCTGTGCAAGGGCTGCCGGGGCCTGCTTTGGGCTTTGCTTTCCCCTGGGGCCACCAAATCCAGGAACAACGTGCACTTTCCAGGAGGTCAAGGGAGGGGAGCTTCACCCCACATAGAGATCATGATGCAAAGCGAAGGGTCAGGGAGGCTGCCCAGAAGGAAATCTGGGGTGTTCGTCGGTGCCTTTAATTCAAAATATATTGGGCAAATAATAGGTGACAACACATCCTGGCCAACACCAGGCTTGTGGATGGTGGAGGAGATTTTAAGCTGAAATATGTGCAGCTTTCTGATGAAACACAGGACAAGTCGTGTCCTGCTGGTGTGGAGCTAAGGAGGGTGGTTGGGTCTGGGCTAGAAGAGGGTTTGAAATGCCCTGGCAGCACCAACCCACGCTGGGTCCACCAGCAGTGTGAATGACAACGTTCAGATTGTATCAGAGAAAAGCAGAAAAATAGTCATCTGGAGGACAGAGTGACTCAGGGGATTGGCTATGAGATGGATCATGTTACTGCTGGGGAATGGATTCCAATTAGTTACATCCGCTTTTAATTATTATTATTTATACAGAACCTAAAGGCAATCCACAGATTATCCAAAAAAATGCTCAGGCTGATCTGTAAATCCCCCATCCCACCCCCCCCCTCACAGCCCTTGCAATGACAAACACCAGTCACGCTGCCCAGACTGATTCATACTGGCTGTGGCATAAATTGCTTATTAACGTCCAGCTTGCTGCATCTCCACTTTTCTCACTCACTGGGAGGAAAATAGGGAAGTGGGTGACTGAGGTCGGAGTTTCATGTGAAGTGTTTTTGGTGGCAGCAGATGCTCAAGAAGTTCCTCCTCGCCTCCCTGCCTTTGGTTCCTTTTTCTCCCTTGTCCCGCCCCGTGAGTCATGCAAATGCAGACCTGTGGGATCAACCAGGTCAGTGGACTGTTAAAAGGCAAAACAAGGAGGGTATTTTAGTCAGAGTTGGTGAACCTCACTGCTCATGTTGATGGGAGACGCCTCAGCCTTTGCTAAGACGGTGGCAGAAGTCCGAGTGAGCAATGGAGGGACATCCACTGACCTGGTTTGCCACCAGAAACCATCTTCTCTTCAATGGCAGGCTGTCCTCTCCTGCAAGGAAAAGCCAGTTGTCCTGCTTAGTCACCTGAGGCTGCTTAAAGCACGTTCGTGAAATGGGAGTTTTGCCAAAATAAGGTTTTTGGGAACTGTTAAAGAATAAGCTACAGAGCCTTCACTTTCATCCTATAGAAACGAGAAATGCTCTGGAAGTGATTTCTCATCACTTATTTGCAATAAAATAAGCCAGGTTAACAGGGCAGGTAATCTACTTTAATCTACTTTATCTACTCGAATCTACTTTTGGACTTTCTCATTCTCTCTATGTGCACCATTGCTGCCACATCTCCTGTAGAAACTGGGAAAGTAGCCACTGCTTGGGAAAATGTGCAGCTCCAGTTGATATAGAAACCACATTTATTACATGCATTAACATAAATTGGGAAGTTAAACCAAAAAAAGGCATAGACTTCCCTGGGTGAGGGAAAAGAGAATTTGAGTGGGAGTTCTCACCCTTCTGGCCCTCCCTATGATCTCCAGGAAACTTGGAAGGGAAACATCTACCGAGAGCAGATGTTCCCAGCAGGATCATGTATATATATATATATATATACACAGATACATAAACACAGTGGTTTCTAGCAGGATCCATAGCAAATTTGGGATTGCCTACAGGAAGGTCTTTTTGATGGCTGAGGTGAGATGAGAAAACATTGGCCTTCTAGTGTGAGATGGCAACCCAAAAAGAGCATGAGAATGTCCTCCAGGTCATGCTCTGTCCTCCAGGACAGAGCAGCTCCCCAGTGGCTGTTTATCCA